TTGCAGAGTTTTAATGTTCAAGAGAGAGGAGAGGGGAAGGCAAATTACCTCGATGATTTTTAATATACTTTTTCTTGTTATATAACTTGATTCAAACATACGCTACTTTGATACTTGGTCGTTTCTCGATTTATTCGTTGTTTATCCATGGGAGGGGAGGGTGGCGAGAAAGATCATTGGCCCTGCTGTATACAGAGCACGAATTTAGGACGTCCAAAAGTCGATTTTACTTTTACCATCATCTCTATTAAATTTACCGCGACTCAAATAGGCACGTTTACGACTCGAATGAAATGCGCGCCCGCGCGCGTGCAAGAGCATAGAAAGAGAAAGAGAGTACTGTGGTATAAAATTTAAAACGTCGTATGGCGTATATAAAAAGGAGAAATGTTTTTTCGAAGAAAAGTCCAACGTTTAAATGATATCCGTTCGTTCTTAAAATATTTGTACAAATTAATTATATTGAATGGCCCATGATAGAAAATACAAATCCGTCAAGTGACTGATTTTTCAAATATGTTTTCTCGTCGTTTTATAGAAAAACAAAAAGGAAAAAGAAAGAAAAGAAAAAATAAAAAGAAAAAAAGAATATGGTGGATGACTGACTAACCCCTTATGTGCCATTTCGAATCTTCGAAAGCTAATTTCCCTGACGGAGACGTTTCCGTTTGGACCCTTCCTCCCATTGTTGGAATCACGTAAGGCGAGGGAAAAGGAGAACTAAATCAATGTAGGACATTTATATTGGCTGGAAATCGCTGACTCCTCTGATCTCATGGCCGACCGTGGACACCACAGGGACATATTAAGATTTCTGATCCGTCCTGTCGGTCGACGGACATTTTTATTATTACGCCTGCCCCATCTCTTCTTTTCTTCGTTCTTCATTCTACGTTGTTCTTCGGTTTTCTCTTTCACTCTTATATACTACTTTCCTCCCATAGACAGACCATCTCTACCGTACAAGGAAATAAAAGTTGAATTATTGTCTATGCAGAATGTCGTCCTTCCGAAAGTTGTGACCGTTATGTGGTTTTTGGTGAATAATTTACTGGCCATTTCACGAGGATATAACTAAACTTGTCTTTCGTACTTAATCTCTCGTCGAACAAACAATGATTGTTCTATGTTATTTATTTATTTATTTTTACTTATTTATTTATTTTATCATTTTTTTTTTTCGGAAAAAAAGATCGTAAAAATTGAAAAAAGAAAATACGAATACTATAATTACAAAATGCTAAACAATAGTTCATTCTTTCGATTTGAATTAATTTAGTACTATTACTATGTATATTATATATATTTTTTTTATTTTAAATTTGATATATAATATAATATATATTATTATTATTATTATTATTATTATATTATATTATATTATATTATATTATATTATATTATATTATATTATATTATATTATATTATATTATATTATATTATATTATATTATATTATATTATATTATATTATATTATATTATATTATATTATATTATATTATATTATATTATATTATATTATATTATATATATTATATATATTATATATATTATATATATTATATATATAGGACATAGTATCCCAAAGAAGTGTTCATCAATATTATTATGAACTCTAATAATTTTTTCGGAAATATGCTGGGCAAGGTCAATTTTCGTTATTTTCGAGAAGGACAGGTCTTATAAATTTTAGATACAATTATAAAAGGCATATATATATATAGTAGCATATATGTACGCTATTATACGATATATGCTATTGATACATGTGTATATATATATGTGTGTGTTTGTGTGCATATATATCGTATATAAAGTATTTATCATATAAGATCTTTTTGTCTTTTTCTAATTCTATTCCTCAGCAAGTTGCTCTTATGTTTAGAATGAAGATCTCTATGCGTTCACATGTCACGTGTCGATGTATTGTAACGCAATTGGTCGATGCTTTCTCCCCACTTCGATCGTGACCAATAGATGAATAGCGACCACGCTCGTCACTTTTACGGCGGCAGTTAGTTGTCTGCCGTCTCTCGATTTTGTTGGTGCTTCTCATGTTTGTGCTTTATTTATCCGTCTTTTCTCAAAATTCTTAATCGTGTTCATTGGACTAATCAATCGATACATATATAAATACATAGATATATACATCTATATACATACATACATACATACATATATATATAAATATATATATGTATATATATATATGTATATATATATATGTATATATATATACACATTCCAACAAGAAGTGTTCTGAGAAGAAGTTCGAAGAGAAGTTCGGAATTTCCCAAAGTTTTCACTTACACGTCGTTCTTCACGAAGAACTTTTTACGCGATTCTTTTCTCGTATCCTTTACGGAAAGCTGTTAAATCTCATTTCGATGACTGTAGGAAGTTCGTTTTACGAAGATGAGTCGTCGAAGAAACTTTAATTCTTCTTTCTCCTTTTATTGGTCACTTGATATAACTATAAAGTACTTTAACCTTTTACGAATTGTACCAAAATGACGTAGTAAATATCGAACGAATAGTATTGAAGATAGAAGAAATATCTTATTGATTTTAAAGCTTTCGCTTCTATCGTTTAATATAACATTCCGTCGACATAAAAAAATTTTCAATTTGGGGATAAAAAATGCAAATGCAATTTTGTGAAATTTGTGAACTTGAATGATAATTTATTGATATAAAACTATTTAAAAGTGCATTTAAAGAAAGACAAATTTTTCTTGGCCAATTGGTCTTTTGCGAAATCTGCGATGGTAAGAAAAAAAGCAGCATGTTGCTTTTTGAGGTTATGTCGGCCATATTCGCGCCAATCGAACGTTCATCCACGCGTTTGAACAAGTTTCCTCATCATTCTTATTTATTTAGTTTCTATTGTTACTTCTCAAATGATGCATTTTATTCTTTTTTTTATTTATTTATTTTTTTTTTTTCTATATCACGTTTGCACTCTAACTCTTTCTTTAATGAATTATTACTAATTATTGATTCTCTAATTTTAACTTTAAACCTTTAAACTTACATTATTAATCAATAGATCTGATAATCTATTATCACTATGTACTGAATATTTTGATCTGCTAATAAATTCAGTTAATATATCTTCATTAGTTTTAACTTTATTTAATCTATCTAGTAGTATTAATTCTATTAATTCTATTAATTCTTTATATTCCTAATTATCTCTTTATTGCTCTAAAGCGATATCATCAAATAACTGTTTATATTTAATAATAACGATTCAAGATCCAGAATCTTAGATTTATCCTTTTACATGAAGAACTTAATTGTTTTTCAAGTATTTCTTAGGTTTTCATCGTATAATCTCGTGTTTTCATGTGCTATCTTATATAATGTTTCAATACTTATTTTATAGAATCTGTTTCAGTTTTTATCTATAATATAGTATTTTTATTTCAAGATAATCAACATGTTCATGTCTATTTTAAACACAGCATCTTATTTATTTTCATATGATTTTACCATCCATGCTTTATGCAATTATTGTTTATTGCGGTTGAGTTTAATAAATAAGGCTTTGTTGTCTTCTAGTCCTTTCTTACATTTAAGTAAAGCTTCTGTCTTTTCTTTCAGTTTTTTCCTGCGTTTTTTGATTTTAGATTTTCAAATCGCTAATCTCAAAACCATAATGATTATTCTTCCCTTTAAATTTTCTGACTGAAACAGATGGCTTATTTATGTCCTCAGTTTCTGCGCTAATAGACTAGTCACTCCCTTTCAGTGATTTTACTCGCAATTACAATACTCCATTCTCTTACGTATAAATTTAATTCCTGAATTATAGTTTTTATTAGTTTTTTTCTCTCTCTTTCTGTATTTTTTTTGTTTTGTTTTGTTTGGATAATCTAACACTAAGTTTTCCATAGTATCTTCTGTAATTACCATATCTTCTCAATTTGTTAATTAGCTTTATGTACTTCACTATTACAAATTACATATCAACATACAAAGATTTTATTTCCATTAGAAATTTTTGTTTGTTTGGGTACTGTATTGAACATTCAACAAATAGCGTCGCAAACATATGGTGTTACGAACGATACTAACTCGTTTAGGACGGTTTCAACATGTATGTGTACCCCATGGAATACGCCGGACAGATTATGGTAATAAATTGATAATTAAAAACAAAAGAAAGGTTCAATTACAATAATTATATCCCCCGTTTTTTTCCACGTGTCATGGTTATATATACATTATGTTATATAAAGAAAAAAAATGAAAATTGTTCCGTTAAGAATATATTTTTTTTTTCTTTCTTTTTTTTCCTTCTCTTACAACGCAATAAGATATATATAAGATATATATATATATATATCTTATTATCTTATTGCGTTGTAAAAGAAGGAAAAAAAGATAAGATGAATATATTGTAAATTAATAATAAGAATAATAATAATAATAAAATAAAATAAACAAAATTTAATTCGAGAAAGGATCTATATATCTCGTAGGATTTCGTTTCTTTAACGACGTTAAATCTAATCGATCGATGAGAAATAACGATTTTATTCTTTTACGATTGCGCAATCGCTCGCATACTTATAACGAGTTTACGTTAAATCGAATCTCGGTTGATTTCTTCTTACACACGTTCCTGTTTATATCGTTGAATTAATCTCTATTCTTGCCAGAAGCCGCCGTGTCGCAATAGCCGGATTGTGCTCCTCCTAAGATGGATGAGCGCCGGTATATAAAAGCGTTGTGTTGTAACCGAAAGCACGATCGACGTTTCCTTCGTTCTACCCTATCCACGATGGATCGTCGTCGAAGCTTTTACCATTAGGTTTACGTATAAGCGTAAACAATTAATTTATTTACAGATAATTACTTCTCTCTCTCTCTCTCTCTCTATCTCTGTGTGCTTTTTTTGTTCTCTCCACTTAATCTCCCTCTTAAAAAGAAAAAAAAGATGAATACTAAAAATCACTCAATTAATTTTTTTCTTTTTTTTTTTTTTTACAGTATGGCTCGGACGAATTCGGACAAGACTCGCCGAGATATACATCGCCTAAAGCTGCGGCCCTTTATGCAGATCCATATTATATCGGTGAGTTGAAAATGATTTTCTTTGTTCTTTTTTTTCTTTGGTTTCTTTTTATTATTCATTTATTTTTCTTTATTATTATTATTATTTTTTTATTTTTTTATTTTTATTTCTTTTTCTTCATTGTTGCAAGCATTTTATACGTGACTTTGTAAGCATATTGTTAAGCATACGTATGCTCGCTACGTACATATGTGCATCTAGATATCTTCTTCTCTATATATTAGTTCGAAATCGCATAACGATTCTAATAGACGATAAAGCGACTTTACGAGCAACGGTAATATTCGGCTGTTTAACGTTCGATCGTAAAATTCGTCGCTCTGTCTGTCGCGCGCAAAAACAATAACAATCTTGTTATTCGCTCGTATCCGACGTTCCAACGTCGAAGTTCTCCCGCCGCGAAGATTTACGAATATCTGTGTTCTGATTAAAAAATAAAAAGAAAAAGGAACAAAGAAAAAAAAAAGTAGGAGAAAATGTACACGTGCCAATAAAAAAAACTTGTACATATATGTATAACACGTTGTATGTATTTCATTTTTTCGTGTGATATCAAAATGATTTAATCGATAAGTGATAACACGATACGGTATTAAAGAAAAATATATTAGTTTATTAAGCTTAATCTTTTACAGTGATATATATACGTTTGATTCATCAATCTACTTGGTGATAGATTGACGATATATTTAATTTATTCTTTTTTATATCTTTTTAATAAAAAAAAAAAAAAAAAAAAAAAAAAAAAAAAAAAAAAAAAAGAAAGAAAAAAAACGAAAGCAATGAAATGTTTTTTTTCGCTTCAATGTTAGTTAAAGGGTCGTGTAAAATTTTCATTGAAGTTTAACTTATTCGATGGACAATATTTGTAATGTTTAACGAAAAAAAAAAAAACAAGCAAACAAGACAAAAAATAATAAGAATATATCGTATGAAGAATAGACAGATAATAAATGAAAGATTTTTCTTTTTTTTTTTTTTTTTTTTTCCGGAGACATCCGGTAGAAAAGCTTTTCCAACGGCTTATATAAATTGAAGTTACGAGACGACACGAGAGGCGAAAAGTTTTATCAAGCATCGAATGCCGCCATTAGAAGAGTTCGTAGAAACAGTCAGAATAGTTTGGCTTAGTTTCATTTCTTTCGTTGTGAGAGCCTCAGAAACTACAAAAAGGAATTATATCAAGGAAAAGTATCAAGAGTAACGTTTCGCGGACAGCTTATTGCTGTTGTTTTCAACTGAAATAATAATCTTGCCCACCACCAGCAGTGAACAATTTTCTTTGACATTAGGTGTCAGGATGAAAGACAACGTTGAATTCTTTGGTTGTCGCAATAAGGTTTTCTGAAAAAAATGTACCGAATAATCGAGAAACATATCTTTTAACATAATTTCGTCGGCCATTAATGTATTAGGGGGACCGGAAAGTAATGTCGCTTTCTTAAATTAAATTCAAACGAATAAATTTTTAACAAGTTTTTATTTTTAATCACAATCAAATATCTACATGCGCAGAAACGACATTACTTTCCGGTCCCCCTAATACATACATGCGATCATTCCTTTGCGTGTGCGACGCATTCCTTTGGTCATCGAACAGTCCATGTTATTAGTGTTGACATGTTTTCAAATATCGTCCTTATTGAAAATCTCCCTCTCCACTTCTCCTCATCCTTTTCCTTTTCCTCCCTATCGATCGGTTGTAATATGATTCTTAGGATTCACATAAATCGGATAATTTAATCGTAACCACTTCAACAAAATATCTAAAGCTTTTTTTGTTTATAATTTGGATTGTTAGTTTGTTATATATATATATATATATATATATATATATATATATATATATATAACACGGGGAAAAAATTAAGAATTAAATTATTATTCTTAAATATAATTTTATGAAAAATCATCGTTTATATATCAGAGATTATATGGATCGGAGAAAAAAAAAGAGAAAAAAGAATACAGTTATACTAATACAGTTATAATAATAAAAACGATGATATTTTAACTCAGTAGTTTTCTAATTTTAATGACTATGTAACCTTTGAGCTATATCGTCAATCACTTCCCGCTAAGAATCGAAAATCATGCGTATTTTTAGATGTTAAGAGAAAAGATATGATCGATGAAATATATATGTGTGTGCATTCTTTTTCTCCCATTTATAGATGGGAATGCAGCGGGTACGGGTCCAGGTGACCCATGGACGGGAGGTGGCGGCGGAGTTCAGCCCCCCTACAGTGGATACGCTCCCCCTCACCTAGCTCAACCGGCCTACCCCATGCACCTACCCCATGATCCCATGGTAAGTAGTTTTCTTGCGTTTTTACTTCTGGATATTTCTTTTTTTCTTTTTTCTTTTTTTCCCTCTTCTTCCTTACTCCAGAAAGTTCGAAAACGAACGAACGAATGAACGATCGATCGATCATCAACCATGACATATTCTCTTTTTCTACGAACGTTTTTTGTCGAACTTTTTAATGAATCACGCGAGGAGAGTGTTTAACTTGAAAAAAAAAAAAAAGAGAGAAAAGAAAAAAATTCTCACGTCGAGATGATACATCCAACGACTAGCGACATATTGTGGCTTTCCTGGACCATAAAAAGTTAAATGATAGAAAGAAAATAGTTGTGCTAAATCGAAATAAAAGAGAAGGAAGGCGAGGTATATAAGGAAGAGAAAAAGAAGAAGGAGACTTTTGCTTCATCTTCTTCCTCTTCTTCGAAAGATGACCTTCGAATTGATTCGTCGACTCCCGGCGTTAGCGTAAATCAAATCGAGGAGTGTAGGCATCGAGTACCGGTTGAGAGGCACTGTTGACAGTGCTCCATGTACGCGGAGTAACGTCAAATGAGTCATTGGGTGCTATATATAGATTCGCCCTCCCGCTACTTCGTGTTTCTAGTCAAGTGCAGCCTTCGTTTGATTTACGTTGTCCATGGTTACCACGAAATTCTGCTCTTCGTGGCATCCTGGATTCCCTACCATCTATCCATCCATCCATCCATCCATCCATCCATCCATCCATCCATCCATCCATCTATCCATCCATCCATCCATCCATCCATCCATCTATCCATCCAACCATCTATCCATCCTTCTATTTTCTCCCCTTCCTCTACCATCTTTCCGCCCAATCCAACCTCCCCCACACTTTCCTCCCTTCCTTGCACCTTCAATTGTCCATCCTTCCATCTGTTCTCTTCTCTCTCCTTCGATATATTTTGCTTTTTCTTCTTTTTTTTTTTCTTCTCCTTTTTTTTCTTTTTTTTTTTTAATTCTTTTCACAAAACAACGTCGTTAAAATCATTTGAAAAATTCGTGAATTTTTGGCCTTGAAAATGTCTTCTCTTTTTCCGATCTTTCTTCGATACTTCGACGATAAATCATATTTTTAAAAAACATCGTTAGCATCTTCTAACGCATTCGTTCGTTCCTTCATTCTCGTGCTTTTATTATCGTAATCAAAAATTTTCATGAATCTTCAATAAAAAGAACAAAAAAAAGGAAAGAGAAAAAGATGGAAAAGAAAAAATAAAGAGAAAACATCACACTATACAGTCGCGTAACATCGTCGTGACTCGATCCACAATTCGAACTTTTCGTAGGCGTTCGGGCTCTTAATTTGTTGATAAATACGTGCCTCTCTACGCCCTCGGTGGTGCTTAAAATTAGACGTTTTACGAGCAATTTCAGTAGGTGCAAGAGAGCGCTATCCCGCTAGGCGTATCCGATATCAAAGCTAATGTTTAGAGATTAAAGCGAGGTAATATAAGAGTAAAAAGAGTCCTTTGAAAAATAATGATTTCTTTCTTTTTTTGCTTTCTTCTTTTTTTTTTTGTTCGCTAAAAAAAAAATGAGAAGCGATCATACGTATGAAGATTCGTAATAATAAAGTAAAGATCAAATCGGTCTTACGTTTTTTATTTTTATTTTCATTTATTTTCATGCCTTTTTCTCTCTTTTTTCTTTCTTTTCTTTTTTTTTTCTTTTTTTCTTATTTGTTCTAATAACGTCAGTCATGTTTTCAGGCATACTCGGCGATGTCACCGAACGGTGAACCAGCGGCGCCAATTCTTGGCTCAGCTGTAACCAGCGCGGCTTCGCTTCCGCCGATGTCGACATTCCGAGGTAGCGCCGCTGTTGCGGTAGCAGCGGCGAACAGTGGCACTGGAGCACCTTCTCCGGCCTCTTTGCAATATAGTCATAGTCCTGGTGCACCTACCACTGCTCCATCGGCGCCAAACGCCGCACCCGCAAACAATCAACAACCACCAACGGGGGACACCCTCGGCAAGACCCTTGCATCTGTAGTGAGCACACGAGTACGTTACTTTTATTTCTTTCATTGTTATTAATTATATTTAATTTGTAATCATTTGATATTATCAAATATAAATTATATAAAAAGAATTGTGTGTGTGTGCGCGCGCGCGCGCGTGTGTGTGCGTGTACATATCTACATATGTGTGTATATATAAAGTATTATGAAATATTGTAGATGTTCTCTCATGTTATTTCGTGATAAACATTGCTTAAGATCGTAAAAATTGTTAAATGGATTGTTAAATAGATCTAGTAATTTAATTTGTAGTCATTTGTCAAATATAAATCATGGAAAGAATATATATACATATATGTAAAGTATTATGAAATATTAAGTTGACATTTTCTCACATTATTCTATGATAAATGTTATTTAAGGTCGTAAAAATTGTTAAATAGATTATTAAATAGATCTAATAATTTAATTTATAATCATTTGGTATTATCAAATATAAGTCATATACAAAATATATATATATATATGTAAAGTATTATGATATATTATAAGTAGACGTTTTCTTACGTTATTCCGCGATAAATCTCGTCTAAGATCGTAAAGATTATTAAATAGATTGTTAAATAGTAATTTAATTTGTAATTATTTCAAATATAAATAATATACAAAAAACATGCACGCGTGTGTATATAAAGTATTAAAAGTAGACATTTTCTCATGTTGTTTCACGATGAACGTCATCTAAGATTGTAAAGATTGTTAAATAGTTCAAGTAATTTAATTTGTAATAATTTGGTAGTTCAAATATAAATCATGTACAAAATAAATATGCATATATATATGTATAAAATATTATGAAGTAGACATTTTCTCACGTTATTCCATGATAAACGTAGTCTAAGGTCATAAAGATTATTAGATAGATCTAGTAGTCATATCTATATATGGTATTAACATATCACATTTGATCTCTACACCGGCGTAAATGGAGTTAACATTATAGGTGACTTTACGCTCGTGACAAAGGAACAAAAGTGTCGTTTATTTTTTTATATCCTTTGTAAGAAGACATTAGATTACTCTTTTTCAAAAATCAAATTTTTTTGGATATTATTAATTTAAAATTCATGTCTGTTATTTGTGTTACATTTTTATCCACTATCATAGAATGAATGTTGATCGATAACTATTGAGATTGATTTCTAAGAAAAAACGAGTTGAGTCGTTGTTGTCGTTTAATATGAATATGTTAGATTACAGTTGAAAAATATAATACATTCTATAATGAAATCTTTATGTATTACAGATCTATCCCACGGACCAATCAGTATCGAGTTATAGCAGCAACCCATCCACACCAGTCAGTTCGCCACCACCCTTAACGGGATCGGCACCAGGTTGGGCACCTGGTGCTGCACCGGTGTCGCCACACTTCACAGCAGATCCAAACCGTGGCACCATTCACATGGTACGCACCGATGCTTTTCGCGAGAAAACACACAATAGATATACTTCCGTCTTTGGTAATCCGTTCGAGTTCGCATTTTTTTTTGAAGAGATTGCCTGGCCCAGAGATTATAATTTTATTGTATTTATATTTATATACGTATTATATTATCTACGATTTCTTCCACGATTTTATTTTATCGTTCAGATTTACATCGATCTTTGACGATAAAATCTTTACGGAGAATCTTAAATGCGAGTTCGAACCGTTAAACACGACTCGTCGTTAATCGGTATGCTTTTTAAGAAAAATATTCAAAGAACATACATACATACATACATTACGAAATTTGTATCACAGTTCTTTTGTTTTGATTCTTTTTTTCTTTTTTCCTCCTTTTTTTTTTTCTATGTTAACGCACAAATCTCTCTCTCTTTTTTTTTTTTCCTTTGCATAATTATTTTGAACGTTTTCGAATCGACACGAGGAGTGCAATTAACGTTTAGATGGCTGCACGCACGCACCACTTCATTCTTTTTATTTCCAAGGGTGATTTCAGGAAGTCTCTTTATAATAATAAAAAAGAAATTCTAGTTTTAAAAAGAATTTATGAAATTTTTCGAAAGTCTATTCTTTTTTTTTTTTTTCTTCATTTTTTTTAATGGGAGAGGGTGAGCAGGTGGAATGGGAGAAGAAGAAAAAAGGAGAGATGAAAACTTAAAATTATAAAAACCGATCATCTCACCCTCATTTTACACGTTTTGTTCTCACCATTTCTTCTTGTTTGTTGTGAGCGTTGTGTTGACTTGGTTGTTTCTTTTTTTTGGTTTTGTTGTTGCGTTGGTGTTGTGTGTGAAGCCGGCGCCTGAACAGCAGAGGCTAGACGATGCCATCGGCTTCCTTCGCGACCACGCCGAGGTGAGGATTGCCGATTTTGTTTTTTTTATTATTTATTCAGTTTTCAAATTATTCTAATTATACACATACACATACACATACATACATATATATATATATATATATGTATATATATTGATTATGCATGCCTGTGCCATGATAATGCGTGTTAATACTATTTATAATAATTTATATGCTCGTTTAAGAATAAATTTTCAATGCTTTTAATTAAAAACGGCACAAAAATACTTGTTTATCACGAACAGAGCACAATTTTCATTCATTAAAAATGGATTTTCTTTATTTTATTTTATTTATTTATTTATTTTTTTTTTTTTTTTTTACTCATTTATTTATTTTTGTTTTTGATAGATTGATATTCGCTTTTACTTTTTTATACGAGGACTAACACTCGCGATCGTACTTTTCAGAGCATGTACAACAAGCTATCGTCGTCCATTGATGATGATGATCATGATGATAGTGATGATGATGATGATGATGATGATGATGATGATGATGATGATGATGATGATGATGATGATAATATATTTTGAATTACAATTGAGAGATATGGCTAACGTGTTAAAATACATGTTTTTTTTTTATAAGAAGCGAAAGTATATATATATATATATATATATATATATATATATAAAAGAAAAATAATAATTTTATTTCAAGTTATATGAAAACAATTAGGTAAAAATAAAGAATTGCAATGATATGTAATGATAGCAATAAGAATGCTTTTTTAAACTGATGTGTAATCGAGTCAAATTTCTGGTATTCTGTTGGTACAGGGAACGCGGATGGAGGAACGACTGGACGATGCCATAAACGTTCTCAGGAACCACGCGGAAAGCCAATTGGGCCTTCACTTAGGGCACGTTGGTCCACACGGTTCTATTTATTCTCACACATCACCACCGCAGTTGGACCATTTGGTAATGATTTATTAAAAACAAAGTTGATTTTATTACGTTAACATTGTGATTCTACTGTCGTGATAATAAAAATGGATTATATTTCATTTCAGACAAGTCCACATCCTGCGGTAACGGTAGCGCAACCACCGGGTTCATATCCCGGTCTTACACCAACACCCGACACAGATGGTTCTATTAAAATAGAAAGGTTACCTGTTACCAATGCCAGTAAGTTGATAAACGATGATGCCAATATCAAGTTATGTTTATTAAAGATTTACGGAATGAAAAAGAGATCATTGGACGCGATTTATTAACATTGTCATTATCGCTCCTATCATAAAGTAATATCTATATAATATATATATATACATACATACATACATACATACATACATACATACATACATACATACATACATACATACATACATACATACATACATACATACACACATTCATACATACACACATACATACATACATACATACATACATAGATACGTACATACATACATAGATACATACATACATACATATATACATATATACATAAATATATAATATAGTTGCAATGTCAGTCTTGACAAGGAGTTTCAATCGAGAAGCATAACAACGTATCGCTTTATCGTACAGTTCTATTCTTGGCATCGAATCATAGAACGAACACTTTTTCCCATGAGTTCTACAAGAGAGAGAGGGGGGGGAGGAAAAATAAGTGGGAGGAGAGGAATGTTAGCAGGTGTCCCACGATAGAATTCTAACCCGATAAGGAAATATTAGATAAATCACTGCTAGCTAGCTAAGTCATCGTAGAGTTCGTTGTATGTGTTATGTACTCTTTATTATTATATTCTTCGAAGACCGTCCGTTTGTCTTTTTATCTTACCGCCTAGTATTTCTCTCTCCTTTCAGCTTTTTATCTTCGATTCCATTATGCCAATAAAGAGAATGCAACCGAGTCCTTCTCTTCTACGGATTAGGAGAGCTACCGTTGTTCGAAGTATGGAATGCAGGATTTTTCCGCGGGCATAGAGAAATATGGGTTTTACTAGATTCTACGTGTAACTTCGTTAGAGATTATATTTTTCTATTTTCGATGGCTTTCGATCGTATTTGGTCATTGGAATTCGGAACGTTTTTTTAGGTCATAGATAAATCTTTGGAAATCTAAATGTCGTATCTTCGATTAGGAAAATCAAATAAAATTTAATGTCAAAGAATATAGATATAATTATACCGAACACGAATTTGGTTTTGTTCATTTTTTCTTCTTTTTTTCTTTTCTGCTTTTTTTTCGGTGCGAAAATGTAAACCACATTTACTACCACCTTAGCAAACAATGCTGATCTATATCGAAATTCTTTCCGTACGATTTTTTTTGTTTTGTTTTTTTTTCTTTTTTTTTTTTCTGTTAAGAAATACGTATTCGATCTATAAATATGCGAATCAATATAGGCATAGAGAGAAATGCGAAACGGTGAATTGTCAGACGAAAGAAGAGAGTGCATTTAAGGAGATAGCTGAATCGGAATCGGAGCTAAACATCCCCCATAAGCAGTAGTGCTTCCTGTTGGTAATTGGATGCTTTTCACGGTTTCGTGACTAAGCCTTATGCCCAAAGCACAAGGATAATTGTGAGAGATGTATTATCGGCCGTGTTCGACGAAGGTCGGCTTTACTCTCCTCATATCTTTTGTTTCCGTGTGAACGCATGTTCTACGATCTATAATTCGTAATAGATACAGAAATGATGATCCAGAGAAAGACTACTTACAACGTAATATAATATTTATATATATATATATATATATATATATATATATATATATTCATTTTAAAATATAAATTCAAACATATAAATATAATATAACAATAACATAAAAATATAAATTCAAATAAACATTGTAGAATGCCTTGCTGCTGCATTAGAATTGCATTATTGTAAGGATTTACATTAGAGTACGTAGTTAATCAGATTGGGTTCTGTAATAATTTATTTTTTATTTGATAGCCAAAAAAAATTTTATCATTTAATGACATTGAATAATGAAAATTAGGGAAATTTATTGTAATTTATTGAAATCTTTTAAATATACAAAGAAATTAGAGGATTATCAAGTTCTTTGACACTTAAATTTAAAAAAATTCAAAAAGTGGAGTTAATTGATTTGACTTGTAAACAGTTTATATATAAGTAATAAAATGTGTGCGTATATGAGCGTGTGTGTGTGTTGATCACAATCAATCGAATAAGATATTCAATTATTGAACATAGATAAGATATTTAAGAAGAAAATCCTGTATCTCTTTTATTCCGTTAATCATTTTTAAGCGTACAAATAACAATGTGTTGTTAATATGAAGATGCTAAATGACATTATCAATAATGAGCAGAATACATCTCTTTAGAAAAGAGAAAAGATCCGCCGGACAGTAGCGGCGGTGAAACAAAACCTTCGAGTAGTGAATTAGCAGCGGCCGGTGTAATTGGTACGGCGACGGTTAATTCGACGTCTCAAGGAAAAGGAACGAAGAGGTCGCGCAGGTAGTAAGTATCTTCTCATAGCTTATTTCCCGGAATGAACAATTTTCCTTGTTTGCTTTTTCACTTTTTTTTCTTCCTTTTTTTTTTCTCTTTTGTTTTTTCATCCTTTCAAAGTCAAGTTTGAAAATAAAAAAGATATACAATATATATATTTATATATATATATTAGGTTGGGGAAAAAGAAATCCATTTTTTTTTATTTTTTTATTTTTTTTTTTTTTTATTTTTATTTTATTTGACCCAAATTGGACAATCCGAAATATATTTAATAAAGTTTTGAAGTTCACGCAAAAATAATGGATTTCTTTTTCCCCAACCTAATATTGCATCCTTTTTTCGTATATATTTCACAATATTTATCGCGAATACTCATGAATGTAAACGTCTTTTAAGTATATACATATTTATCTCGCGTATCATTCAATGAACTTATTTGAACTAACATCTTGTGTCTTTAAAAAAACCGTTGTTCGAGTGCTGACGAAGATTGTGATGATCCTGGCACCAAAGCGGTGCGTGAAAAAGAACGTCGACAAGCCAACAACGTTCGTGAAAGGTTAGTGAACACACGCAGTATGCACACATTGTTACATCCTTTTTTTTTCTTTTATGTATATATATGTATATGTATATGTATATGTATATATATATATATACATATATATATGTATACATACATATATATATATTTATAAATCCCTCATCTTCCCTATCATTTTATATGTATTTTTCTACCTTTTCCTGGATTTGTTCAGGATAAGATTTCGTCTTAATTTTAAAATGAAATTTCTAAAGTATATGACATGCACAAGAGATATTTCGGTGAAATTAAATATGCACAATATATGATGTTATAAATTACACGTGTTTATATATATATATATATATATATATATTCATTTTTATCGTAAATGGAGAGTATTGTTGCAAAAATACTTATTTATATTTTTTTCTTTAAACTTGGCATGCATAAACTTTCGATTATTATTGAGACGTCCTTACGACTTTCCCATAATCCTTAAATCCGTTGCACTGCAAGGCCCGTATTCGAGCGTGAAAATTAAAATGTTGCTGGTTATCGTCAGAAATGATGGTAAAACGAGATAAGTTAAAGGAAAAAAAACAAAAATAATAATAATAATAATAGTAATAATAATAATAATAATAATAATAATAATAATGATGATGATGATGATGATGATGATGATGATAATAATAATAATAATAATAATAATAATAATAGTAATAATAATAATAACAATGAATTAGTTTAAAAAAGAAAAGAAGAAGAATGAGAATACATAAATAAAAAAAGGAAGAAAAAAAATTCAATTTCTCGTGCGTATCTGCAAATCAGTTTCATTTTAATTCGATTGCGATTCGGTCCCTAGGCATGCTATATTACGTTAGAATATACAGCACTGTGATCTACATTAATTGAATATTGCATTGATTTCTCCATTTACGTAGATTTTATTTTTGTTTGTACATTTTTATTTTCACTCTAGATGCAGATCCAAGTGACATTATTTTTGTGTGGCGTCATTTATCTTTAATTGACAATTAAGGTTAATTCGGTCATTTCGTTAAAAAAAAGAAAAAAAAAAACAAAAAAGGTGGGGAAGAAGAAAACAGACAAATTTTTCGTTATACTAAATTCGAATAAAAAGAAAAGTAAATATTACTTTGTATTTGTTTATTTACTCATTGTATTTGAATTAATGGGGAAATATTATTTATGTTTGTACAGTATTGATGTTAGAATCGAACGTTTTTTTGTTATTGTGCTTCATGGTGCGACACGTTAATACATTTTTGTCGAAGGTATAATTTAAAAATTTCATAAATAGAAAAATATCATGAATTCTGAATTTTCTAGGTAAACGACATCAAATAAGAGCTCAAGATTTTTTTATCCACAAACATCAGGAAATATTAATGTAAATTATATTATAATGCAAATATTCACCATCGATATGTTCGGTGCAAAGAATACGGGCCTTAGAAAGTGAAACCTACTTTTTTATTCATAACCACAATTCTCAGATTAAAAGCAGCTGCGTGTGTTCATTAATATGTCATCTTGAAATATATCATATATATATATATATATATATATATATATATATATATATATATATATATATATAATTTTACGAAAATTATCATAGTTTTGCTCGAACAACTGGTAATCATTATGTTTTTATTATAAACTTTAACTATAAAAATTCATTTACTAGTTTCAATTAAAATTATATTTTTCTGCTATCTTTGACGATAGTAGATTATTTTAATTAACTAGGTTAGGTTATAAAGTTATTTACATCAGGTGATTAATCAAGTATTGTTATTGCGTAACTGTTGTTCGAGCGCTGAGGATGAGGATGACGACCCTGATGTGAAAGCGCAAAGGGAGAAAGAGAGGCGACAGGCAAATAATGCTAGGGAAAGGTAAGCGCATACCAAAGATATGCACCGATGCATTTATGTGGTTAAATAATTCAGTGCTATGTGTGGCCCGTATTCTATGTATGTGTGACAACGATGCTCTGATTTTATTCTCAATTCTGTGAAAATTTTAAATGATATTTGTAATATATATATATATATATATAGAAAAAGGTTTCATGAAAGTGGATATTATTAAAGTAGAAATATAAATTTTTCTACTTATATACATATGTAATATATAATATCATTTATATATTCAAATTTATTTGTAATTGATATTGAGTTGAACTATTGTGGATGGAAAGAATACTTTTAAAATTGTTGTGTCTTCTTACGCTGATCAAAAAGTACAAATTGCTAATGGATCAATATAAAATTCATTACAGGATACGTATTAGGGACATCAATGAAGCTTTAAAAGAACTTGGAAGAATGTGTATGACACATTTGAAAACGGACAAACCACAAACAAAACTTGGTATCCTTAATATGGCCGTAGAAGTTATCATGACGCTTGAACAGCAAGTTAGAGGTATAATTTTGTTCTTTATTTGTTATTTCTCTTTTTCTTTTCTTTTTTCTTTTTATAAAGAAAATATGTAATTTTAAGTTTTAATCAATGTCTTTTCATCATATATTCGCAGAACGAAACCTTAATCCAAAAGCAGCATGTCTAAAAAGAAGAGAGGAAGAAAAAGCAGAAGATGGACCAAAGTTACCTGGTCATCTAGCGGCACACATAACACATCCACATCCTCACCCTCATGCACATTCTCAACCACCCTTTCCCGCGATGCCTGTATGTATTGAATTACTATAATATTTCTTATTTATTAGTTACGTGCAATATTATAAACTTATACATTTTTTAGGGTCCACCACCTTCCCTTCAGCACAATCCAACGCAGCCACAGTAGCAGCGGCTCTGCGGCGGTATCATCCTGTGTTAAGGGGTAGATACACCTTAAAATTGGCTAGTCTACAAATATGACTTGTATCCACTTATCAAAACTTTTTCCTATCCTTATGGGCTATTAAAGTATAAAAATATTCAATGGTATTATGTCGATTGAATGAAAAACTTCTCTTCCATGTCGTTCAGTATTTTAACAATGATGATCTATGATTTTACATAAAGGCTCATTTAGATTTCTTTTTACCTTTTTCTTTTTTATTATTATTATTATTATTATTTTTATTATTATAATTATTATAATTACTATCATTCTTCTTCTTATTATTATTATTAGTTTTAAAAATATTTTTTAAATGATGCTGTAAAACGTAGTGCCTATTATGCAAAAAATTGAATCATTATTACGAGTGTATGGAATATTCAATGAGACATATGTGATCTTTTGACATTTTTTTTTTCCGTCGAATAAGGAAAGGAAAAAGTATCGATTTGTAGAGATCCAAGCATAGAACAGGTAGTCTTAAGAAGCATCTACCCTTTTAAGGCGGCTTGAAATTATTTTTATAAATAGCAAGAAGACAAAGGAATATGGTTCCTCTCTTTCGAGATATAAAAGTTTGTAGTTAACGATCGAGATCTCACTAGCTCGATCTAAGCCCCGTTGTCGGTATATATTGACTCGCTTTTATGACCTAATATAAATCGAACTTACAGAGAATCGTGGAATTGATGGTGTTTAAAATTTATCGACTATACGGTGATCATTACAATTTTCAGTAATGTCACTTCGATAGATGATTTAAGACTTACGGAATGCGCCATTTTACATATTTTAATTGTAATGCTAAAAGTATCAATCGTTTTCTTTTATCGCTGAACGTTTCTTCAATCAAACTTTCAAAAGTAGATTTGTACAGAGATGATATTGAAAAAATTCTATGTAAAAAATAATTGAAACTTAACGATTTTGTTTTTATTGATAAGAACAAAAGTGTTTTTTTTTCTTTTTTCTTTTTTATTTTTCTTTTTTCTCTCCAAAGTAAATATAACGGCACATACCGAAGTGAATACGATTATTGATAATCATAGTCAGTTATTTCTTGTTTCTTTGTTTGAAATTTTGCATAATAGAGATATTTTTATTTCCAAAGAAACTTGGAAAGAAACTTATCGGCATATCAATTGGAACTGTGATAAAATAGCAACAAATATTTAAGGAATGTGGACGTATTATGCAACAGGTATGATTAACTGAAACGTCAAAAAAGATACTTTACATTGCGTATGATTTTTTTTTTGTATTTAGAAACACTGCCGGAATTAAAGCCGAACGTAATTAAATGGAACGGTTTGACGTTTTGGTTTCAATGCGTTCATTAGATGGCTCTAGTTCTGTTTATGTTCATGAATGTCGATAAAGTTGCGGACTGTGTCATGGAATCGTTTGAAGCCGAATTTAATTTTATCAATGATAAAATTGAAAACATAAAAGTCGCATGTTTTGTGAGAAGTACACTTAAGACATACTATATAGATCGAAACTTTTTACATTATCAGAAATTTAATTACTGAAAGATGATCATGGTAAATATACAGTCTTTGTAAATATGCCATAGTGTTTGACGATTCGACGCTTTAAGAAACGAGTTATGTTAAGAAGGTAAGAATAAACCAACAGTACATATGTATCCAACACTAATTAATTTTCATAACTTATTACTACATGCAATTACACATCCATGAAACTCTGTTATCAGTGATTATGTATGATTTTCATTTAATAATTCACTATTACATAGATTTCATTTTGAAATCGATCAAAAAATTTTTTTTTTTTTTTTTAATTCCTTTTTTATTTTTTTTTTTTAAATTTTTTTGAAACTAAATAATATGTGGATTATAAGTAATGATATTTTAACAAAAAATTTTTTGTCTTTGACATTAAGATTTTTTATACATTGATTATTACAGAAATTATTGAGAACAGAATTTATACAGAAAGGTATTTCTGTAAAAAAAAAAAAAAAAAAAAAAAAAATAAATAAATAAAAAAAAAATAAAAACAAGTAGTTAAGAAATGAAGACAAGTTGAGATCAATTTTAATATGGTTATAATCAGTGTTGGAGCATGTCAATTGGTATTAAATTGGCGTCTTCCGTTTATTCCACTGTTATTATGACTAATATAAATGTATGTGAGCAAATTTGCTAATACATTATAAAATTAAAAAGTTTACAAAATTTTCGATACAATACTGACATTATCTTTGTTAATAGGAAACCATAATCAATTAGTTAAATACAACGCAGGTTTTCCTATCTCGTATTTAATGAAAGAATGTATGCAGTTTGTATTATAAATTATTTTATTAGATAAATTCTTTATTTCAAATCATTACACGAATCTGAGTGGATCGTAAATGAATCGAACCGAACCGAACCGAATCGAGTCGAATGAATGGCGTTAAATTTTTCAAATGAAATGGATATGCACAAATAATAATTCCAGGTTTATAAAGAAAAAAAAATTTTCCAACGAATCCAAAGGTCGAGACGACGCATATTCAATTCATTTAATTCGACGAATGATGTATCATTGAACTCGATTATTTAGATCGAATGAAACAAACGATTCGCTCAGGTTTAATTAGGCATTTTATATAATGTTATTAATGTACGTATTGTAGCTCGTTTAATATCTTTAACTGCAGAGAAAGAAAGAGAGAGAGCTGTGTATATGTTCTTGTTACACTTATCTTCTGCAAATCGAAACTGCAAGGAAAATGGAAAAAAAGAAAAATGTTTTAATCCATGTATCATATATACTTAATCGTTTATATAGAACTTATTTGTAAAATATATCTTTTTCACAATGAAACACTCGCCGATGGTCGTTCAATAATGACAATTAAAAAGAGAAGTCGTATCGTGGTAGATTGAAAGGTATTTTCTACCAATCCAAATATTCTACCTCTGTCTCGATAATTCTAACGAGATTTCGTTAGGAAAATACAAAGACAATATTAGAACTTTCAAACGATTACCTGTTAGAACCGATTGTTCAAATACGGAATGGCTTACGTTGTAAAAACGTATGATGCATTGTTTGCCAAAGTGTTGTACGATGTATAGCGTGGCGCTAATTTTGCATATCTATCGTGTAACCATACTATGCTTTCATGTGAGAAACATGTCTTTAATATACTTAAACGGGGCATCTTACGTAGATGGAGAGAACGAAACGTGTAAATAAAAAATATTCTTTTTATATATATATATACATATATATATATATATATATATATTTATATATATATACATATACACATATATATATACATATATATATATATATATATATATATATATATATATATATATATATATATATATATAATTTCTTCGCAAACTAATATTTTATACCAATAATTATTATTAAACATAGCTGACACAAGCTGCATCCCACGAATTAGGAAAACAATAAATCGTTCGCGTTCCTTTGGCGAGATTATGCACTGGCCACTGTCCATAGATTTATTGGTATTATATGGAGATGAGTACAAGTTTGTAAAGTTCTATCTTATATATACGGTGTTTTTGCGTGAGAAACGTTGTCATGCTTTTGACAGATTTCTTTATTGAATCGATGAAGTTTATACTTGGTATGTATAGATCTTCCTCGTGAAATAGAAAAGAAAAACATAATGTTTATTACGTACTTACATGCTATAATTGGCTACGATCGACGAGATGATAGAATCTGTAAAAATATTGTTAATACCTTTAACATTTTCTTTTATATTTATAAAGACAAAAAATAAGAAAGGGCCTTAGGACCTTACATTCAAATTTATATAAAATAAGATTTATATCCTCTATTTTATTAGTCGAACTTATTGTCGAACGATACCGTTTCTTTCTTTTTTTCTTTACTTTTCTCTTTTTGTTTTGTTTTTTTCCTCTCTTTGCTTTGCTTTCTATAATGAACGAATGCATAATTGAAAAATTATTTACAAAGTGAACGTGTTGAAAGGCTCACTCATATATTCTGTATATTGAGAAACAGAAATTAATTATTTCTCATAAGAATTTAAAATAGTACGGGAATACAATTTATTCTTCGTGATAATGAAACTTCTTTTACTTGAATAGACGAGAATGTAATGAGAAATACGATATCTACGTTTGTTCAATCTCTCCGAGTGAAGAAGCATATCATTATAGTTTTTCTTTTGTACAATAAATGTAAAAAGTTTCAATCGAGTCGATAACAATCTTTATCACTATATCAAGTCTGCGTGCGGAGACGATTTCTTTGGGGGAGTAGGGAGAAGTGGTCGATTTATTAGAACTAATTTAACTACTTCGATAGTTATTATTATAAAATGAAGTGTTCTTTATCGATTTTAAGTCGAAATATAAAAGAAAAGAGTTGAAAGGGAAGTGGAATGAGAAGGAGAAGAAAGAAGCATGGGTGGGAGTGAGGGCACTTGGGAGTAGAAGATGGGTGAGGGAAGGGATGGAAAAGAAAAAGAATGCGCGCATAAAGAAATTTTTCCACCGTGTAAATGGAGAACGAAAAAAAAACTACGCTCTGCCAATTCCACGAGTTCAAAATGCGTTCAATATCGATGATTTTTTTTTTTTTTTTTTTTTTTAATCTATGAATGTACATTTTTTACTTTTCTCTCTTTAGTTCGAGGTAATTAATATTTGTACGATGACCGAATTTATTTCGAGCCAGATTAAATCATACCTCACGAATTTAAAGTTGTATATTTCGGAAAGTTGGAACGTCGAATCGGAAAACGTTTATTTAGAAAGAAAGATGTGAGACGGTTCTTTTTTTTCCTTCTTCTCTCTTTTTTTGTTTCTTCTTTTTCTTTTTTCAATGGATCATTCCACAGACGGCCTAATAACGGTGAAAGAAATCGTTTAGCTTGGGAAACAAATGATCAATCCTCATATCGGATTTCCGATCGCACGACGCTTCGTACTTATGTATATACATACATACAAACATACACACGTACACAAACACGTCTATATATATATATATATATATATATATACACATATATATATATATTTCCTTTTATAATATGGATTACCTTCTTCTGCGTAATCAAGTTAATGACGTGTATAACAATTCGTTAAATCAGAGATTTATTATTATTATTATTATTATTATTATTATTATTATTATTATTATTATTATTATTATTATTATTAATAAATATTATTATTATTATTAATATTAGTAATATTTTTATTATTATTATTATTATTATTATTATTATTATTATTATTATTATTATTATTCTAATAAGAACAGAACTTTTATTATCGATCAGAATTTATCATCAAAGAAGGTTTAAAATTAAACGTTTTACTCCGATCGAGAACAACTCGCACAACCTCGCTCCAGTTTTAATTGTTAATATTCATTTTTAAAAATTCGACGGGAACGTCATTAATTTCGTTGGAAATAACTTGGCTTTTCTGCTCGGCGATTCTTGCATGAATTGAAAAATGCTAATATTAAGAATTAGAATTCAATGATGGTTAAGTAATCATTGGCAACGCTAATTCACGCAATTACGTGAGGGTCTATGCGTAATCGGACAATGAAATGCATAAAAGAATGAAGTCAATGTTTGCGTGATATCGACTGATAATACCGTTGGTTAAGCGAAATCATGCAACGTACATATACGTGACAGCGGCCATCAAAATGTTAACATGCACCGGTTGCCATTGGTTGAGCGTTATGATAAAACAAAAAAAAAAAGAAAAAAAGAGAAAAAAAAGATGAAGAAGAAAAAAAATTAATTTATCTCTGACAAAGAAGGTGAATAAAGATATGCCTATAGATTGCGAGGTGGAGAAAAAAAAAGTGGTGGAGAGAGAGAGAGAGATAGAGAGAGATAGAAAGAGACAGAAAGTTAATAAATTGTACATTGTGCGAGCTAAAAGAGAAATAGAGAAACGAACAAAAAATAAGACGACATAAACACAAGTACACATATATACATACATAAATACATACATACACAAACGTACTACACGTAAATACATCAAGGGAAGTTTACGTGCGATACACTTTTGCTCGCGAAAGGTAATCGTGTAAGATAATAACGACAATAAATAGCTCGTAAGCCAATGTAAGCTAGGCACCTGTCGATAGTCTTAATTAGATAGTCAAAGTGAAGGAATACGAGACTTGAGAGTATGCGCATTCGCTTGAAATTTTAATGAATGAAACGACGAATTTAAATCCTTTTTCTTTTTAAATCGAGATGATCTTAAATATGTATATTTTATTTGTTAATTCGTTAAATATCGAAAAAAAAACAAATCATCTTCGTCGTTGACGAATTATTAAAGGAATGAAAAAGAAAAAAAAAATAATGGAAGGATAATTATTAAGAAACAAAACGAACGAGCTTTGCCGTGATCGAAAAAGAATTCGTCGATTATTTTTTTTCCAGGGGTATCTTTTTCTTTTTTCTCTTTTTTTAGATCATTTTTTTCTTTTTTTTTCGTTTTATCTTTTTTATCCTTACTCTCCATTCGTAATTGGTCAAATAGGTGATAGGGAACGAGACGAGAGAGAGAAAGAGAGAGAGAACGATCGATAGATCGATGTGAGCTAAGAAAGTCGTGAGACACCAATTTTCCTTTGCGAACAGAACGATTATCGATGGATACAATATTGTATAATTATGATAGATATATAAGCTTATTGTATGATATGTAATTAAATTTGCACGTAAGTGATAAAACGTAGTCAGCTCGTGTGAATGGTCGTTAGGGATATTGAATCGACCCCCTCCTTGACGTATGCGTATGCGTCTGCAAAGAGGAATATGCGATTATTATTGATAATTAACGAATCACGAGAGGAAAGAGAAAGAAAGAGAGAGAGAGAGAGAGAGAGAGAGAAAACAAAACAAATATTATACATATTATTTGAAAGGATGAGCGTTAGCGAGAAAGAGTGAGAGTGAGAAAAGTGTACCCGATTGAGAAAGAAAGAAAGAAAGAAAGAGAGAAAGAAAGAAAGAAAAAAAAATGTATAATTATCGCTAGTAATATTATTATCTCTAATAACATAATAAATGTGCCATCTTTTCCATAATCATTAGCGTTAAATGACTTTTTTCGATTACTCCGCGACCACCCCATATATTAACCTTCTTTCTCAAAGACGAAAATTTACAGTTTCATGTAATATACGTGTACAACATTTAACGTTTGCGTACAGCGATCTTTTTTCTTTTCTTTTTTCTTTTTTTTTTTTTTCTTTCTCATTCGTAAGTTTTCAGTTATATATTTGTTGTAATACTCTCAGTATTAGATAATATTAACGCTGACACGAGATTATTCCATTTTTATTAATCGTTTTCTTTTCTCTCGCAATAAGCATATCTCGTTATAAGTTTTTCGTTACACGTCATTCTTTATAAGCACTATTATATAACTTTAGATTATAGAGTAGTTGTTAACGTAAGCTTT